TGGGCTTTCCGAAGTGGGGTGCCCAATGGGGCACCCGGGCGTGGAGCAACAGGGCGTGGTGCTTCTTGATGTCCAGGATGTGGAGCTCCTTGGGGTGCTCTATGTTGTGCACCTCCGTGGGGCCTTCCATGTTGTGCACCTCCATGTGGTGCTCCACGTTGTGCACCTCCGTGTGGTGCTCCACCTTGGGGTCCTCCATGTTGTGCACCTCCGTGTGGTGCTCCACCTTGGGGTCCTCCATGTTGTGCACCTCCATGTGGTGCTCCTCCTTGTCCAGCAAGTATGAGTTGCAGTAACTGTTGGTTTTGAGCAACCAGTTGCTGCATGGTCTCCAATATTTGTTGGGGATTCGCGGCTAGAGTATCCGGAACAGGGTTGATAGGCGGGGGAGCAACCTCTTCCTCTCGTAGAGGATTGTCTTCGTGTTGGTTCATGGATCGAGTAGTGATCGCCATTAGCTAATGGACGTAATGTTCAGGAGTGATAATTTTGTCGATTTCCCACAGACGGCGCCAAACTGATGATGCACAAAAATGGTTTTGCACACCACCTGTCAAGTATAGATAATAAATGCAATGAAATCAACGAAAAAATTAGAGAAGACACAATTTATAGTGGTTCGGTCAATTCGACCTACGTCCACTCTTCAATGGCTTCAGTCGCCGGGTATTTTATTGATTCAAAGGTATGGAGAATGGAGATACAAGCTTTGAGAGGGGGAATGGAGAATCAAAGAAAATAATAATCTCCGGTAGTCGGTTCGTCTTCTGTAAGTCTCTGATGGAGCATGTCCCTCCTTTCTACCAGCTTGGAGGCTATTTTATAGCAGCTAAGAGATCATTCTTGTGGAGATCATGACATATCCTCAAGGCTTCTTTATCGCAGCTAAGAGATTATTCTTGGTGGAGATCACGACTTATCCTCAACGGAAGGAGGAGGTTGGGGAGCTCTTCATGAAACGTGGTCAAAGATTGGACCGTTTCCTTCGGTGGTGCAGATAAGCTTCCCGTGCTCTCCTCTTGGTGACGTGCTAAGCAGGAAGTCTAACCGGCCTTGGACTGTCTTGGACTTGGTAGATTTGGACCGTTTCCTTTGGTGGTGCAGATAAGCTTCCCGTGCTCTCCTCTTGATGACGTGCTAAGCAAGAAGTCTAACCGGTCTTGGACTTGGTGGAATCAAAATGAAGTTTGGCTCCCCAACTGGGGTTGGACTTTAACACATAAATTGGACTATTTGGGCTTAACCCATCATACTAGTTGTTTTGTGATTTAAAATTTTTAATATACTAGCAATGCACCACGTGCATTGCACGTGACTAATTATTTTTAATAAAATTAATAAATAATTATTTGGTATATGTGTACTTGAATTAAATATCATCTTAATTTTACCAAACTTATTTTTTCATTGCTCTTGCTCCATTATAGAATTTTTTAAACTTTTATATATTTTCAATATTGGTTATTCTAACTTTAAGAAAAATAATTAATTAAAGTTCTTTTTTTTTTCTATAATTTTGTAATTAAAAGTATTTTTTAGTGATGTTTGAAAATTAAATTTTTTAAAATTAATTTGATTAAGATTCCACTTATAAATCATTGAATAAAATAAAAATAATTATCAATATACCAATTGTATTAGAACCTTGATGTATTTAGAATTAGTTAAGTTAATTGAGATAAAATTTAATATACAACGCTGTAATATATATTATAAAGTATATTAAAATTTTAAAAAAATTCAAGTTTTTCACATAAAATTTTAACACAGTTTAAAAAGTTTACTATAACTAAAAAATCATATAAAACTATATGTACATTATTTTTTTCTTAAAAATAAAATAGTTTTGATGAAAAATAAATATACATACTTTCACTTCTAGTTTGATTAGCATAAAGTGTCAGCTACTTCACCTAGAAGACTAGCACGTGCCAAAACTCACTTCGGAGGGAATGAAGGGACCTGCAAGAGGCTGAAAAGCCGTAGTGCGCTAGCGAGTTAGCGCAACAACATAGTGTCTTGTTTTCTTCGCTGCTTCTTTTTTTTTTTACATTTTAAAGAGCCAGCCTGTCTTTCAATAGATTGGCAATTTGCATTTCATCATATAGAGCCGTCTAATTCTAGCGTGATCATCTATGAAGTCGAGAAAATACCGAACTCCATAGTCAGCGGCAGTAGATTGGGGAATGCTAATCTCATGGAGGAATTCAAATCTTTCCAAGAAAGTCTCTTCTTTCTCGTAGAAGAATTTTCATTCTTCTTTGAGTACCTAGGGAGGGAAGGATCCCAAGCGTAGAACAAGAAGAGTAAAGTAAGAAAGAAGAGTTATATTGGCACGTACTGGAAAAAATCTATCTGTAGTCATAATATTATCTTTATAAATGAGATGAGTAATATTATATTAATGGAGTTTTTGAAAGTTTTTTTTGAATATTTTTTAAAAACTAATAATAATGCATATATTTTTTAAGAGTAAGATAATCAATTAAAAAGTTTCATAAAAATTGACATTTATAAATAGATAATAAATAATTAAAAAATTAATTTGATTAAGATTTCACTTATAAATCATTGAATAAAATAAAAATAATTATCAATATATTAACCATATTAGAAGCTTATTGTATTTAAGATTGTCTAGGTCAATTGGGATAAAATTTAATATACAACGTTATATTATATATTATAAAATATGTTAAATTTTTTTAAAAATTCAAGTTTTCACATAAAAACTTAACACAGATTGCAAAGTTTACTGTAACTAAAAATTATGTAAAAGTATAATACATTATTTTTATTTTAAAAATGAAAGGATTAAACATTTTAATGACAAATAAAATATACATATATAATCATAATATTATCTTTATAAATGAGGTGAGTAATATTATATTTATGAAATTTTTGAAGGTTTTTTTAAATATTTTGTTAAAACTTATAATGACATATTTTTTAAAAGCAATATAATCAATCAAAAAGTTTTATAAAAATTGGCACTTATACATAGAAAGTATATAATTAAAAGTGATCGTAGACATAATTTGGAGATTTAAATGTATATGGATATGATTGTAATTTAAATATTAAGTGTGGAATGATAGAGTGACCTTTTTAATTCTTTATAAGGGTAAAATAGTGAATTAAAAATTTTTCATGTTAAACTACTTTTATTAGTAGTATAGGTTATTTTAATTTTTAATGGTATTTTTAGTCAACGTCGGCGTATGAGACAAGTATGATGAAACACGCTTAATTTCATAAATAGAATGACATAATTAGATTTTTTTGGATATTTTTGTCAGATTATTAACTTGTAGCACTCAGATTCGGCTCAATAAGAAAATGGCATATAGTTTTAAAATGTATGAATTTGAAACTAATCGATTATGCGAATAATTTTATTTTTATAATTTATATTTGATTTGGTTAAAAATTTGATATTTAGATACAAAAAATTGATTCAATCCAAATAAATAATCATTCCTTGGTATTTTTTTATTAAATTTCAACAAGACACATAAATCTATAGTTTAACAAATGAGAAGGTATGTGATTGAAATTTTTCTTAATATAAAAGATAATGTAACACACAATACAATGAACTCTGCAAATTTTACACTTAGAGACACCCCAATCGATACCCGACCCTCTGACATGACTTTTTCTTTTTGAATAATGCCATAGACATTAACTCTATTGCAGCACCAAATGGGACACAATCATAATTATTATATATTTAATAAATTTTGTAGGGCCTATCTATGTTCAGGTGGTGTATAAGATAGCGTGTGTAGCATTGTAATTTTTTTTTTTTGGTCGGACTGACATTTCCTTCGTAACATTGATTTGGTTTTCCCGCCATCAGACCATCTATAATTTATAATATAAAATAAGACAATCATCAAATTTTTTTTTTTAATAATTTTAAATAAATTTATCTAACAGCCACCAACATTCCTCTCAAAATTATTCATATTTTTTTTTCGCTAAATTCATTACTTCTCATTTATATTACACCGTTCCTTCGATCACGAATTATCCATAGTGTCTATAGATATAAGTGGTTGAGATGAAAAAAGACATTATCAAAACCAATGAATGCTTCCTCTTCCTGTTTGATATCACACTTCACGCGGTTTATACTTCCATTACGAAACACCTCTTTAGCTATTTCTTGTTTTATGTTTTTTTTTTATAATTAGAACAAAGAATTTTGAGAATATACAAAATTTTCATAATTTTATAATAGAATATGAGCAATTAAAAATTATATTTATTAAATTTGAGATAATATTTAATTTAGATACGCATACATCTAATTTAGTTTATTAATTTTTGTATACAAAAACTATTCATGTGCAATACACGTGATGCATTGCTAATGTTACAATATATAGATATATTAAATAGAAAATAGAGATATAACATTAAAAGAATTATCTACCCTATGGCACGGCCTTTTTTTTTTTGGGTCTGGCATGCGCTTCATATCATTTGGTTCATAAATAATCCATGCCTTCAAGGTTTTTATATTTTTTAATTAATTCAAATTGTTAGTTTAGACAATGAAAAATAATTGAAATTAAATAAAATGATCACAGATTTATTGAAAAGAGAAAATTATCTAGAACTTGAAATTTTTTCCTCACATCAAAAAATTCTTCATTCTTCTTTTAAAGAAAAAAAATGTAAAGAGTGATCTTCTCTTGTTGTAGAATTTGAGATTATGTGATTTGAAAATAAATATTTTTTTGTAATTTTTTAATATCAAAATTGACAACTTGACTTAATTTATAAATATTTAAACTTTGAGAAAATAAATTGTTGGAATTAAAATTAGGTGGAATTGGTTGAATGGGAGCTAAACTTGGATAGAATATCTTATAATTTTTTTTTTTGACTAAGGAGACCCTAACATTTATTTGGCTGTTTCCCGCTGTCAGACAATGTCTATAGGCTTAAGAAGTTGACAAGACAAAGAGATCATCTCAACCAATCAAATGCTTCCTCCTCCGGCTTGCTTTCCTAAAAGGTGGTGTGGGTGGAGATATGTATCACACTTCAGGCGGTTTATACGTCCATTACGAAACACCACTTTAGAGATTTCTTCAGACTCTAATCTCTCTACTCAGTTTGATCTTGTGACTATTTCTTTGATTTCTATTTTTGCAATAATTCAAATCTACACAATAATGATGGCTTCAGGTAATAAGATGAGTCAAGCATGGCGAGATCCTCAACTGTCACCTGCTTGGATGGTCACTCATTCATCGGTAAACCCTAGAACTCCTTTTTGGGTTATCACAGAAGACGAACTTTTTCATCTTTATGAAAATCCCGGAATGATTGATACTTACCAAGGTGCTTTTATATTGGACGATATGATTATGACCCAAAATTTTGAGAGGAATGAAAATATTGATGTTGTAAGCATTGATGAACTGGTTGATTCTCTTAACGAGTGCCGGATTGAAGAAAAGGAAACAGATGATATTTATTTACTGAATCGTCAAGATGCGTTCATGATGACAAATTTAGCATGTCTCCATTCAAAGGCATCCCGTGATGCCTATTTGAAGGGAGATCATCTTTCTGCGCGGGTATTTTCCCAGATGGCACAAGAAGAAAAACAGGCTGCAAAGGTTCTTAATGATAAAGCTGCAAAAGAAATTTTAAGGATCGAAAATTGTAACAATGATATCTGGCAGTTAGATTTACATGGCCTTCATGCGATGGAGGCCGTTCAAGCCCTAGAGGAGCACTTGCAGATAATAGAATCTGAAGCGTCAATATCACTTGGACAAAGACGGAGATCCTTGCTAGTTATAACGGGAAGAGGGGTTCATAGCCGAGGACAAGCTGTTCTTCCAACGGCTATTAGGAGCTTCCTCAGTGAAAGAGGATATCATTATGATGACTCAAGGCCTGGGGTTTTCACAGTACGACCCAGATTTCATTGCTAGTGAATGTTGGACAGTCGCTGATGTACAAGAGGGGAACAATAATTCTGTTTTTTCTCTTGCAGTTGCATGTAAATAGTATACTACTATATTGTTATAGTTGAATTAATGGTGAATCCTAATGGCAGATGGATCCAGTAGTAAATTAGATAAACAATTTATGTACAAATGGCATCATAGATGATAATAATAATAATAATAGAAACATTTTCATACCTATAGCTAATTCTTACATGCAAGTACTTTTTTAATTTTTGAATCCAATGTCAAAATCTAGAGTTTTTTTTTCCTATCATCTGTCAAGCTTATTCTATCAACCTGTGTCTACTTCGAATATGGGTGAGGCCAGCATTTCAGGTTTTTTATCAACAAGAGCACTGTCTTCAGACGTCGTTCTTACCTGCCTTCTGTTAATGCAAGTACAAAACTAACCAATGTTTTCATATCTTCTCATTCTTTCTTCCACTATATGTTGAATGTAACTATCTATAACAAAAATACAGCCATCCCCACTTTCCAATGGGGGTTAGAATTCGATGATCCCTTCCACCTATTCGTTTGTATAAAAACTGCATTACATTCAAATCCCCCAAACCTAATCAAGTCATCTCACTGAATGGTTGAGTATCGGTTCTGGCATTCCACTTCACTCAGATTCTTGAAAATGAACCTTATAGCAACAATATGGTAATGGTTTGAGATACAAAAAGAAAATACAGATTCATATGATTTCACACACTGCATATGTACGTAGTGCTTTCACCAGTAAATTTTCTCTCTCTCTCACAGTAGACTTCCAAATTCCACCATTGTAATTTATCTGTATATTGTAACAGCTTGATCAACATTTACAATCACTAAATACCATGACAAATTATACAATACAAAACTCAAAATGGCACTAACGTTTGCCTGATGTAAGAGGCAAAAAGGCAACGAGAAGAGCAACGAAAGGATACTCACCACAGAATGATTGGGGAAAATTTTTGCCTAATATCAGTCTTAAGACCCTTGATGGCGGTATTGGGTGTAATGGTGTAAATATTAAATGTCACTGTGATACCATGTTAGTGGTATCACCAATCAATAATAAAACATGAAGTAGATAAAGTAAATCTCACTTAGATAGTTATTTGCTTATATAGAAGAAGAAAGGGCAATTATTTGCTTGCATAGAGGTTGGTTATTAATTTTAATGGAGTCCATTTATTTATTTATTTTAATATTATTGATTAATGATATCACGTTAACATTACCCCATGTTATCACTATTGTAATGAATATTTACTCATAATGGTGACACCTTGACAAATAATGTCACCATCCAATAATAAATCTACAAATAGACAAATTGAATCTCACTTGGAATGACATGAGTGATTGGTTGAATATGTGAGATCCACCTGCTAATTTGTTATATTTTGTTGAATGATAACATGATGTGTAAATGACGACATAATCTCATCATTATGCCTAATATTTTTTTGGTGATTGGAGGACGCCTGATGGGGCCATGGCCTCACTCACATTTTTAAAAATTTTTATAACACCTCATAAGTTTTTAAAAATTCTTATATTTTCCCTCAAGTTCTAAATATTTTTATGCATGGACAATTCACTTGGCGCATTTAAAAGGTCTGATGAATTGATACCTAATAGCGAGATGAGGGATGTAATCCATAGATGAGTAATGATTTTATAACATACCAAACTTTCTTTGTCCACTCACATTCAAATAGAAGATGCTCAACAGTCTCGATATTCTCTCCATATATTTGACACCAAGGAGAATTAGCACATTTTCTCTTAAACAAATTCTCACGTATGGCCAATGCATTATTGCAAACTTTCCATCAAAAATGCTTAACCTTTGGGACAGCCATCATATGCCAGACAACGTACCAGAATTTTGGATGAGGAGAAAAGGATGGACCAGCAAGTGTATTGGTCGAAGGATCAAGATTGACTACAAGGGAATATCCTGATCTAACTGAATAAGTACCTCTTTGGTTCAGTCTCCAAATTCGGCTATCGTCAGTTGGAATCATTGGAATTGGAATAGCCATAATGGATTTACTCTCCTCATTGAAAAGCCCTCTAATGAGCCCAACATTCCACTCCCAAGTTTGAGGAGAGAAAAGTTGATCAACCTAGACAACATCATAGTCATGGGGTCTAGGGGACTGAACTGCTCCATCTTTAAACCGAGGGATCCATTTGTCCTCCAAATATTCACCTTGCTACCTCCCAAAACTTGTCATATAAGACCTTTCTCAACTAAATCCCTTCCTTTTAATAGGTTGTTACAAACCCAAAAGGGTCTCGTTCCCCTCTTAGCCTTCATGAAGTCACCTTCAGGGAAGTAAATAGACTTTAGAAATCTTGCCTAAAAGGAATCTGAATTCTGAATTAACCTCTAGCATTGCTTGGCAAGTAAAGCCTAATTGAAAAGGTAGAACTCTTTGAATCCCATCCCCCCTCTTGCTTTTGCTTCAACCATTCCATCCCAACACTTCCAACTAATGCCTCTCTTTTCCCCTCCTCCTCCCCCACCAAAATCTCCTCATATATTTGTTAATTTTTTCATAGAAATTCTTGGGGAATGCTAAAACTAACAAAGCATAATTTGGAATCGTTTGGATGACTGCCTTAATTAAAATTTCTTTGCCAGCTTGTGACAGAAATAGACTTTTCCACCCTTGCAACTTCTTCAGAACCCTCTCCAAAAGATAACTAAACAAATTACTCTTTGCTTTTCCATGCCAAAAAAAAAAGGCAAACCCAAATATTTAATCCCTCTATCCAAAAGATTTAACCCCATCAGATGACAAAAATGAGATTTCTGATCTTCCGTCGCATTTGCAGAGAAGATGAGACCAGATTTTTATGGTTTAAGCACTGACCAAAGCCAAAGTAGAACTTGTTAAGAATGTTCATTGCATATGAAATTTCTTGAGCCTAAGCTTTAAAGAAGAAAAAAGAATCATCCGCAAAAAAACAGGTGTGAAATAGCTGGGCTGCCTCTCTGTACTTTAACTCCCGATATTTTTCTTTCTTCCACCCCTTTCTACAACATCAAAGACAGGACATTAGCAACCAGAATAAACAGGTAACGGGAGATGGGGTCGTCTTGTCGAATGCCTCTCCGTGGGAAGACGTCGCATCTAGTTTCACCATTAATAATCATACGAAAACTAATAGTACTAACGCACTGAATTATTAAATGCACCCAACATTGATCAAAAACCAGCTTTAGCATCACTGCCTCCAAAAAATCTCATTCTACTATGTCATAAGCTTTGCTAATGTCCATTTTAACAACCAACACAGGGACCTTACCTTTCTTTTTCAATCTCATATAATGGAGAACCTCATTTGCAATTATGATGTTGTCATGAATTTGGCTATTAGGGACAAATGCTACTTGCTGGGGAGATATAATGGAAGACATAGGACCTTTCATTCTGTTAGCTAAAACCTTCGAGATCACCTTGTATAAGAAATTACATAGTGCAATAGGTCTAAACTGGGAAATCCTTTCAGGTGAATCTTCTTTTGGAATGAGGACGAAATTTTTTATATTCAAATCCCTGAGCATGAATACCTTTTCAAAAAATTCCTTATGACTCTACCCACATCCTCTCCAACAATATGCCAATAAGAATGAAAGAAAATACTTGAAAATCTGTCTAGCCTTGGGGCCTTAAGAGCTCCCAACTACATAACAACGCTCTTAACCTCTTCATCCCACATCGGCTTAAACAGCTATCGGTTCATATCCTCAGTGACCTTCCTTTCAACAACCCCTAGAATCTCATCAAACTCTCTTTTCCCTATTGAAGAAAATAGCTCCTGGAAATACTGTTTGATATGATCATTCAGCTCATCCTCATCTTCAATCCAAACTGCTTCATCTGTCTTTAATCTCAAGATTTGATTTCGTTGCCGTCGTTGTATAGTTGTGAGATGGAAAAACCTTGTATTCTGATCCTTTGGCTGCAGCCAATTTAGTCGTGATCTTTGCTTCCAATAAAGCTCCTCTCTTCTCCTGATGTCATCCATATCAGATAAAATCTCCCCCTCCTTTCTTAGATTATCCTTTGAGGCCTCTAACATTTGCAGTTTAACCAACTGATCATTTAACTCAAACAAAATCCTTCTCTCTTCACCAAATCTCTGTCTACTCCATGCCTTAAGCTCATTACCACATTTTTTCAACTTTTTAATCATTCCAAACATCACTAAGCCATGCCATTCTTCCTCCCAACTTTTTTTTAATAATGTCTTGACACTTATCATCTTCCATCTAGCAAGTTTCAAACTTGAAGGAAGTTTTCTTCTTCTTTGAAACTGGCTCCAAATCAATTATGATGTATTGATTAATGATATTAAAATTTTAATTTAATTTTTATTTGTTGACATAACAATATATAAAAAATTTAAGCAAATCAATTCAATTTTACAGGTTCCAATAGTACTGTGTTATGTCCCATAACTCTTGAAATTTTTTATTAAAACTCTATCACTTTATATATTATTAAATCTATAAATTAAATCACAATAACATTATTCTTTCGGATTAAGCTTGTCCACCCATTCACTCATTATTTAAATACAAAACCAATTTTGGAAATGTATAAAATATTCTTGGTGAAAAATTTAGTAACTGATGATACCAAAAATTATCTAAGGTTAAGCTTGGCTCATAATAAACTAGAAGACATGCATGCCGCATGATGACGTCAAAATCTGGGTTCCAGTTCAAGACAACAAAGGTCAAGTGAACGAGTTGAGCTCCCAATCCCTAGTTGTACAGCTTGTGATCCTAGCTCAAACCTCTCAACTTGTGACCCTAACTCAGACCTCCTATCTCATGATTCCTAGTTCAGGGACCTCAGATTGGGAGTCATCATCAACGTGACCCTCGTGCACACTACAACAACAATAGCCCACATCTTCTAGAAGGCCATGTCATGTTTCGAGAATGTAGCCTCTAATGGCCA